GTGCAGCAATGAATGGAAATCCAAAATCTCTCTAAATGTTCACTAAAATTATTAAAGAAAATACAACTTTTCTGTAAACTCACTAAAACCACAATTAAAATAAAAAATTATATTCTTTTTTAAAAAGAAAGAATACTAAAGGAATATTCATTTTCTTTACTGCTTTCTTGCCTATTGCACTGCCATTCCTCTTGGTTGGTTGTGAAGGATACTGTACAACTATGCAAGGGTAAACTAGCAATTAGAAAAAACGAAAATTAACATTAGTGTATCTAATGAGAAACAAAATGTGACAGTAATGCGCTGAATCACGAACTAGCTGCTAATAAAATATGTTGTTGTTATGTGCTGTCCATTACCAAAAATGACTGGAATAGCACATTGACAGAAAACTTTCAGAAGTGCAAACTGGGTTTAGAAGATGCTGTGGCACTAGGGACATCACAGCCATTGTCAGATGGATCTTGGCTGAAAGCAGGGAGTACCAGAGGAATATCTATTTGTGTTTCGTGGCCTTGCAGAGGCATTTGAATGTGTGGATCACAGCAAGTGGTGTGTGGCTAACCTTGAGAAGAATGGGAATCCCAGAACACTACTTGACTGTGCTCATGCAAAACCTAAAATTGGACCAGGAAGCAACTGTCAGAATCAGACATATCTACTATGAAAAAGTTGGAAAGCTTAGACTAGCAAAAAGAAAGTTGATAGTTCAGGATTCTCTAAAGATCAATAATTTTTTACCCTTAAGTTAATGCTTGAAAACAATTTAGAAACAGGGAATAACAACACATACATCCCTTTTTAATGAAAAAAACACCCCAAAACAATGGAAGAGAATTATCTTTTCACGTTACTTTTTCCCCCTTTTTACTTTACTTTACTCTTCTCTGTTAAACCAGTTAAACCAAGCTGCTCCTTGGAGGCGAGGATTCTGAGGCTTCACCTGACATATTTTGGACATGTTGTAAGGAGGGACCAGTCCTTGGAGAGGGACATCATGTTTGGTAGGGTGGGGAGTGGATTGATTCAGTGACTGGGGTAATTGGAGTGGGTGTGTCAGACACAGTGCGACTGGCACAGTACAGAGCAGAGTTTAGAGCTGTTGTACATAGGGTCGCTATGAGTTGCAAGCGACTCGACAGCACATAACAACAATAACAAGTACTTTACTCTTGATTATATCTTTCCAAATGTTTTATAACAATGCTCTGAAAATGTCTGTCAGTATATATGTTCTGACTTACAAAACGGAGCAGAGAACATTCCGTTACACACTGAGAGTCTATTATGTATTAGACACCATCAAGGTATTGGGTAGTTTCCAAAGCAAAAAGTAGATTCAGGATCCTGCTCTTAATGAGTTTGCTGTCTTGAAAAGCAAAAACCACTACTACTAAATGGAAACTTGTAACAGCAAGTATAAAAGGAGAACAGGTGTCCCCAGAGTCCACAGGGTGGATATAACATCAAGTTAGCAGACCCTGGGAAGTTTTAAAAGAAGAGGGGAAAAAATGGTAGTGGGGTAAGAAATTTAGTGGGGTCACAACTACTTAGGTGTTGGGACCTAAATTTAGGTGCAAGGTGAAATTCACATACAGGAAAGTTCTCCTTGAAATTCATTAAACTGTTGCCGAGTTGTGGATGGACCCAGCCTCTCTCGACATAGTCCATTAGTGGTTTTTTGCTAGTGCTGGACCCATTCTTTCTCCAACTGAATACCTAGAAATACCTAACTTGCCTTTGGGGGCCAGGCTGTATGGGGGGAGAAATGTTTAAAATGTTAGGATTACACATAATCTTGACACCACAGGATTATTCAGGGTTTTAGAATGCACCCAAAGGAACACCTGCCTTCCATCTCCCACCCCTGTGGGCCCTTATTCTCTTGGAGGGTGTACAGGCTCTTTTTTATCTGCATTTCCATCTTGTTGCTTATACAATGAATCCATGTGAAATGAAGAAAAGTAATAATGTGATGTTACTACAAGAAAGACTTGGACATATAGGAATTCAGCTAAAAGGCAGTAGCCCCGTTACGGCATTTGGATGAAAAATTACAAAAAAATTACAGTTTATGGGAGATTTATATTTCATAGTAGCCTATATCAATTCCTGATTCTTCTTTGCCTGTAAATTTTTTTTATTTGTAAATTATAGCTCATTGAGGGTTTAGTAAGGATTTATTGAGGTAATTAAGGACATCATGGTACCTAATAAATATTCAGCACATACTCATTTTCTCTTCCCTTTCTCTGTGTCTGACTAATCTATAGGAGAAACAAATGTGCAGTGGCCATAGGGTTAAACTGGCCTGCTGATACCAAATTATGTTGCTAGTTAGCACTACATTGATAGTGACGTATGTTGACCCTTCCTACAGCAGAAGAAAATACTGCTCAGTCTCATGCCAGTGTTAATGTGGTTGGTATGTCTGAGTCAAATTGAGAGTTTTCTATTCCAAGTTATAAACCAGAGCTCCTTAAATTAAATATGTGAGCTACATATATAAAGTTTGTTCGTAAATATATATCAAAAAGGAAAAAAGAGGAAATTAATTTTAATATTTTTTTTAACCAATGCAACAGTGGCATGGTGACCTAGTGGCAAGAAGATGCGCTGCAATCCCAAAGGCACGTGGTTTGAGGCCACCAGCTGCTCCATGGGAGAAGGATGGGCAATCTCCTCCCATGTGATTACCTGCCTTTGAAAACCTGCTAGAAGAGTAACTATCAACCAACACGATGGTACACAACACAACAACACTGTAGTTTAAAAAAATCATGATAAGCTAATAATAAGGTATTTCACATGCTCTTTTTAGTATAGATACATTGGAATCTGGTGTGTATTTTAGACTTACAAACCATCTTAATTCAATCTCACTACATTTCAAGTACTTAAAAGTTTTGTGGTACTCAAAAGGCTAGTAGTGTTCAACCATATTGGACAGTAATGGAAAACACTGAGGATGTAATCAGCAGAGTGATAGCTTGGTAAAGATTATATGTATGGGGTGGGGTGTGTGTGTAAAGGAAATAGGAAGGATCTGGTGGAAAAACAATGTATATGAACTTTGTAAACGAACTAGTATAAACGAAAATAAATTTAAAAAAATAGGAGGAGGGGGAAGAGTATAAACAGAAGCTAGAGTCTAGTGAACAGAGGCCCTGGGTCTTAGCTGGCACTAGTAGGAATGGCAAGGAGCAACTGAAGGAGAGATTGCTGTGGGTGAGTTCATAGGACTTAGCAACTGACGTCATATCATAGATTCAAAAGAAAAAGAGCTGACAATGAGGTTGGATACATAAAATATCAAAATAATTGATAAACTAAATAGACTAACTATTCTATTTAATATTATGTGACTTTGAACTAAGCTCTCTCGGTGATATAAACCAATTCTCTGGTTATTTCTCTTCTATTTAAAGAGAAATCAAAATACTGTATATGCCAGTACAATTAAAACATTAGATAAACATTCCCACCTCCTTTCCAAAAGAAATCTGGTCAGAGCTATACAATATTCGTCAGATACTAACCTAAACTGTCAATTAGCCTGAGAATTTCACACACCAAAATGCATTCACCTTTGTTCCTCCTCCCCAGGTGGGCAACTCCAGGATAGATTCCTCTGGATGAAATGAATATATATTGTGGATTGACGTGAATGACAGAGCATGTTTCCTTCTTTTTAGATATCTTTAAAACTGACTGAAAAATACTGAAGAACTTGAATGATATTCTTACCCTAGTTTTCCTCTTAGATACCTTATCATGTTTGTTGCTACATCAGTAGCATAGGCTCACATAACTAGCTTTACTCAGTGAATTTTCTCAGTGAATTCTCAGTTCTAGAATTAGCTCTCCCACAGAGTACCAGAGAAACTTAAGAAAACAATTTGCTTTTGTTGCACTAAAATTATTTTAGGAATGTGAGGAAATTGAAAATTCCCCAGACATGCAAAGTGGGAGTTAATGATAAAGATAGTCAATCTCATCTTTCAATACTATAAGCTTCAGAGCTGTTGTATGTAGGGTCGCTATGAGTCACAGGCAATTCAACGACACATAACAGCAGCAACAAGCTAGGCAAAATACTGGAAACTCCACATGGATGGATATGGTTAGACAACAAAAATCCCAACAAAACAACCACCACCAAACCACAAACAAACAAACTTAAGTCCATGATAATATAGATCCAGAGTGTAGAAAAGAAAAAGAAAGCAGGTAGCTGTTTCCTATCCCCTACCCCACATACACACTCTTCTACTCTAACCAAGATATTCTGGGAGAGAAAATAAAGCATTGAGTATTAAGGCTCTCCATTTCTAGAGACTCTCAGATATCATTAGAGGAGGGGGGATACCCATAATTGGATAAATTGTATCTAATCTTTCCAAATCATTAAACTTTAGAAGACATGAGCATGAAGCCTGGTTCATCGTTCTTCCCCACCCCACCGCCCTTCGACCTCCACCATATCCTTAGTGTGAAAAATTATTAGAAGGGTAAACATCCTTACCTCAGACAGAAGGTGCTGAATCACAATGGTCAATGCTTCAAACTTGATATTGCCACAGCAAAGAAGTTGCTTGAGCTGTAGGATAAACCCATTTTGGTTTTCACATTTTGTTTTATATTGAGCCAATTCAAGAGTTTTTTCAGCGGACAGCACATCTGGAGAAGTCTGTGTCTGGGTGCAGAGGCTTCTGGGATTCTTTTGTCTGCTCTTTTCGACTGCAAAAGAAATTCATGTAGGCACTAAAATATGTAATGTATAAAGACTCATAATCACTATCACGTGGGCTCATAAACAGCATAAGCCACAAAAATGTACTTAAGTGTGTTTACACAAGGCAAGCATATGGATAACTGGAAATAATCAAGCACCTCCAGGTCTGAAATTTATAAATGCAAACAGTGGCTTTAGTTCTGACTTTAAAAGAATTATGTAAGGTGGAGAATTATCTACAATGAAACAAGCAGATGTAGCAACTCAGAAACATGAAAACTGTGGTCAAAATCATGCTGAATTTATATTTTCTAGTTTTTCAGTTAAACTAGTACAGGAATGGACTATGCCCTGACTCTATATATTGTTCACATATGCTAAAAGAAAAACTATTGGACTTTAAATGCTATCCCCTCCCCCTACACGTTTTCCATAAACATCCTATCCATTCCCTGCTGATGGATGGCCTAGCCATTATAAAGATTTATACCGCATATGAGAATTTCCTAATCGCTAATAAATCACCACAGACATTGAAAATCTATTCACAATATTGCCCCTTAAGTTGACTGCTCAGAATACTAGACTCTTGAGTACACCATCCATTTTCTATCAGATATAGAAAATGGATAATGTAACATAGAAAATGTATAATGTCCATTTATTTTTTTGGTGGTGGGATGGGGTCACTGAGTGGTAGTAATAACTGAAGATATTTTTTAACAGCATATGCTAATATGGCAATGTCATCTAGAATGCCATGCTAAGTGATTTTTACTTTCTGTGCCATGGTGTCCTGGGAATAACACTATTTTAAATTAAAGTAAAACACAAAAATGGTTCCACTTTGGAGTCATTCCAAATGTCTCAGCAGGTTTAAATATTAAATAGACTTAGAAAAAACAGGAAAGACACTGTTAAGTTCTTGAAATTAATATGCCAAATAATAAAAACAAATCTAAAATTGAAAAAAAGAGCACCAAAATAGAAAACTATAGGCCAATATCTCTCATGAATATTGATGCAAAAATCCTAAATAAAATACTGGCAAATAGAATCCAACGATAC